TATCATATGTCTCAGTCCACATAACTCAAAGTATTATGTCACTAACCATTTATAGCTAGTCTGGTTGTTAAGCTCTACTGTAATAGAAGAGCCACATAGTACTGTTTTCCTGAGTTGCAACAGCAGTATCTCTATGGCGGCATTTTATACAAACATTCATGGCAGGAGAAAAGCAACACTTGTTGCGTCAACAATAAACATTCACACATCGACTGTAATGGTGCTATTTTGTTTTAATTTTTGGTGGCAGTTACTATTAAATGTCGGTCAATTGTACATGTTTTCCTTCCAGGACACATAACAGAACTAAATTAAGTTATCAGCTGGGAAAAGAGACGTCATCTTGATTGAGAAAAAACAAAACAAAACAAAAAAATCTGTAGAAATCCAATTTTTGAGCCACTGCAATAAACAAGGAGGACATTAGCAAGCAGCCCAGGATTTCCAGTAGTACTTTCTGCAGGGTCTGCGAGTTGTCAAGCCACTTTCTGCTTCACGCTTCCGAGTCTTCTCTTCTTCCTCTTTTTCTTTGAACTCTTGAGGCAAAACTCCATTTTCAAATTTGGAGAGTTCATGAATCACATTCAACAAGTTCAGTCTGTTCTCAGATTCCTATAAAAGAAAAACAAAACTTGAATGAATAGAATTGTAAGAAACTATTTATAATGTCACAGCCTTTCACTTGTACCTCAGTAAGACAGGGGTACCTGGCTAAGTGTACACCATGCAGCTGTTTTTACAGTAAATAGAAGGGATGAGAAGCTATTTGAGACCAATTTCTAACCTCCAGTTTGACAGTAATTAATAATATTTAAGAGTCAGAAAATAACTTGATTGGGACGTAAGCTGTTGGCTAGGATTTGCTTTCTGAAGAAAAAAAATATTTCATTTAGTTCTGCACAAAACCTCCAATTAAAAGGCGACATGACATGAAAGAAAAATAAAACCTTACCAGAGAGTCATGCGGTTTGTCAAACGGCGGCAGCGAGTCTTGCAGAAGCTGTAGGCTTTCCACAATCTCTCTAGTTTCTACAGTGCGTAATGCAAAACACAGAATGCCAAAAATACACAGAAGCAAGGCCATCTTAACACTGAAAAATCTATTCGCTTCTTCTTTGTGAAAGCAGGTTCCTCGGCCAGACGCCACAGAATTTTCAACTGATGCTCACAACACAGCAAGATCTGTGTTTTATAGAGATCAAGCCCAATAAAGGGAGGAGAAGCGTGTAGTGCAGGTGATGCGTCAGAAGCTTCTTTAACTTTCTGTTCCTCCCTATCAGCCCACTGAAGTGCATACTGTGTAATTTATGACAGCCATTACAGGGGTGACAAAAACTCTAAATAAGGACATTTTTACCATCATGTTCTTTGTCTGTGCTGTGGTGTACATAACCCCCCAGGAATCTGACCATGTTACTAAAGGTCATCCGGATCTTTTCGTCAGTGTATCTTGCGAAATGTTTAAAAACATCTGACAGCTAATCCCTGTACGCAAAGTGCTGCGTTCACTCATGTAAGATAACGCTTTAATGACACTAACGTGAAGGAAACAATGATTTTGTTATCGTCTCTCTGCCATAAAGTCAAATCAACGTCGGTGCAGAAGCAGTTGGACATCTAAAGGCCATAGAGGTCAATTTATCATTAGTTGCACCCTGGTGAGTTTATTCTGGTGATGTCTTTAATGGAATTTCTGCTCTGCTTAACTTTACAGTTGTGACGCGACTAAATTAAGCCGTATTTGTGGAAGGGAGTAATGATTTTGCCATTGTACATGCTTTAAATTGGTAACTATGTGTTTTATTTGTGTGTGTGTGTGTGTGTGTGTGTGTGGCTGTTTTAATCCTTTTGATGCCACAAAAGAATCATATTACAGTTCACATATTGTACAGTGCCATGCAAAAATGATTAAAACACTGAACATTGTCAGATTCTGTCACATTTACATCCACTAACTGCAGTGATTTTTAATGGGATTTCATAGATGCAGGCCAGCTGACAGGCTTTCCAGGGACAAGATTATTTTAGCTGGACCATACACGTTATGGTGTTATGTACTTAATACAAAATTAACTAATATTCACGAGACATGATTGATACTGGATTCATGCTTCCATCTTCTTCCTTACACTCCTCTGCAATTTTTCCAGCTCCTATTTGCCCCATACTGTTTTGTCTTCCTCCTTAGAAATTTTCCTAAGCATTGATGCGAATGAACAAGTTACTGAATATATTGTCACATACACTTTTACGCTTTTCCAATATTTGTACCAGTACTGACTGCTGTATGTGAGGGCTTGCAGTATTAAAGGTATGCGCCTTTCCAGGTAGGCGGGGAAAAGTTAAAGCACTGTGCCCTTCAAATATAAGACAACCTTGAGCTGCATCATCCTTTCAACAGATTGGCATTCTAACCCAATTGTAGTGTGCAGAACTCCGATACACACTGCTTAAACAATTAGCAAGTGCGCTGTTGGGAGCAGAATAATCTTGTTATCAAGGCTGCAGAAGGCAATCTAAAGCAAGAGGTGTTTCCCTCGTAAGACTTTCAACATTCTTACTGTCGTAGGACTTTCAACATTTTTGAAATATAGGTTCTAAAGAGAAGGACTTTGATGCGCTATCCCGAAATTTGATTGTAATATAGGTGAGTGTGAAATTCTGGTCATCACATATTTTCAACTTATGTTCACTGTTTTTCCTGTAAAGAAACTTATGAGGCAGTTTGTTTTTTTTTTCTGATGGCGCGATCAATGCAGAAAAAAATGTCTGTGCCAAACAGCAGTGCTTAAACAAAGACGTCGCTGATGATGTATGGTGCCATTTTGCTTCTAACACTTTACGTCTATCAACAAGGACAGTGGCATATGGAGGCATTGGAATGCCACTTTAGTGATAGTTTTCAGAGTAAAATGTGTAGAGAAATATTACATGGAAGCTACAGTAATATTAAAATAGGCACTGTTAGGCCAAATTTGAAATCTGTGGATAAATGTTAAAGGTATCAGATAAGGATGGTTTCTTTAAAAACAATATTTACCTTCAGATTGAAATTACATTTGTTTGTCCTTAAGAGTCAGAAACAGTATTTTTGACTATATCGTTTTCTGCCATCAGTATTTTTCAAGAGGGATTGGAGAGAGTTGCAGGCAGCATGAGTCATAAAGGTAGCTATATTCCATGCTCCATTTAACGAGCTGAAATTCAAAGGAATGCTTTCAGTCATGGTGTAAGTTACATCATATTTGTGCACCAAAAAGCAAGAACATAGCACTTCCAAGGCAAGCACATCATGTTTATGACATCTAAGTATCAAAGGAAAATCTGTGTCATTTATGGTGAGCCATCTGAGTTTGACATCAAGCAGTGACAAGACTTTTCCATCCCTATCGGCAACAAAAACATGTCACGAAGGTAATTACTTATCAGTTATCTAGCTGTTATTTTAAGGAATTTATATTGAGCAATTTTTTTTGGATATAATTTGTTACTTGTGCATCACAAAGCTTTGCTTGTGGTTATTTTTTCTGATAGTTTTTGCTGTTTGGCTGTACATTTTTTTTTAGTTGAATAGAATCTGCACTTTCACATCTACTTATTATAATTCTGGTAGATATTATAATAAGTGTGTGTTCACAGATCAAAGTATGGAAGATCAATCCTGCCACATTTAAGACCCCCCGCCTCTCCCCAAAAAGAAATAAGTTGAATGCTCACTGAATAAATCACTTAACTGAATTAATGTGCCATTAAAATGCAACAAAATTAAAATTGAAAAGATTTATTACTAATCAATCAAAATATCACACATGAATTACTAGTAAAATTTTAGTCTTTAGCACCCACACATGTTCTCATTTTGCATTTTGCTTTTTAATAACTCCCTGTTTTTTTTTCCATTTTTGATTTACATATTTATTGCCTCACAAATATATTTACAAAAAAATTATTTTACTTAAGAATATTAGACAGTGAACACAATACAGTAAATAAAGCAGAGTAGCAACGTTACATGCTCACTGTGATATTGCTATAGCAGTCCAACTTAATTAGCATAGAGTTAGCCTTTCCTACAAGCATGTCTGGCTTTGGGAGTTTGATTTAGAAGAGGTTACATTGGGGCAGTAAAACTGCAGTAAATTCTATGTGATTACTATAACTCTAGACCACTGATTCCCAGCCCTTGTCCTTGAGGTACACTGCCCTGCATACTTTAGCCTGTGGTTGTCCAATTCCAGTCCTGAAGAACTGGTCTCCTACCAGTTTTAGATATCCCTCTGCTCACCCAATTCAAATGGTCTAACTTACCCCATCAGCATCTGCAAAGGCCTGGCAATCAGCCGTCATTTAATTCAGGTATAATGAACCAGGAAAAAATATCTTAATATTCAAGAAACCAGCCCTTGCTTTAGATGTTTCTCTGCTCTAACTCACCTGATTCAAAGAATTGCTGTTTAGTAAAGAACTGCAATCTTTTGCAGATTATTATTATTATTTTTTTTAAATTAGTCAAATATTGAAATTAGCACCAGGAGCACAATTAAAACATGCTGGGTGGTGTGCATTTTTCTTCTATACATACATTTAGGAAAGGATTTAATGAGGAAAAAAATAGCCCAAATTCCTTGCAAATATTTCTAAAGCAGCACCACAAAGATTACCAATCTGTTTACTAATGCTCAGGTTGAATATCAATGGCAAAAGTCCAACAAATTGTTCTAGTTTCAATGGCCTCATGACCTTACACTCATGGAGAATTGAAGTCATTATCTATGTGCACCATATACCCTGTAGATACATACAGGGTATACACACCATATACCCTATAGAGCTATTTTGAATCAGCTAAAGGGTTCCAAGAATTTAGGGGCCAACTGTTTTCTATAGGTAGTGCTGGTTCAAATGTTCCTCCAACCACGTTTAAGGGTTGAATTTTTAAGGTAAAGAACAGTTTAAAATAAAATATCACAGCTCGAATATGAAAGAATTCATGCCATAGATAAGGAAGGATGTTTTTATTAGTATAAATTTTAGTCAGTGTTGTGAAAGTGTTATTGGAAGGAAAAAAAAAACATGATAAAATTAATTAACATATTGTGAAAATTACAACATGGGCTGTGTAGTGGGTTTATATGCCAAAAGTTGTCAAAGTTCGGGTTTGTTTTGACAAAAAAATGTCCGGTCTGTCTGTAACACCTATTATGAAAATTATATAAAGAAAAGGAAAATGAAAACTAAAGTAAAAAAAAAAAAAGAGTATTATAAACCCAACTCTGTAGTAACGTCCCCATTGTGCTGAAGCACAGAATTATAAGATTTAGTGCATTTCCAGAATATACAGAATGATCACCAAAGATGATGGTAATACAAATGTAAAATGAACAAATATTTAAAAGTACAACCAATACATGTTATTAAAATTATTCCATCTATTTCACAAATTGTGAATTTAAACATCTTCTCCAGTTTGCACCAGTGCCACAGTTTCAGGATTTTCTGCAGACCCGACAACGACTGATGACTCTCTGCAGAGAAAATCCTTTCACAGTCTGGGGAACCGGTTTACTACAGGAGTGAAAAAACAAACAAACATTGTTAGACACAGGGAAAAGAAACAAGAAATAATAATTTACTTGAAAAAGGAGAATATTTGCTAGCATGGCCTGAAGCGACATGGATAAATCATGTCACAAAAAAGTCAATCTTCTCAGGAGCTGGTATAAAATTGTACTGAGATTGTCAGAATATGTGGCAAAAAGAGAAAAAAACTAAATAATACTTGATAAAGTATTTATCACTGATTAAACAGTTTACCTGAACATGTTGTTTCTGTCAAGGGAGGCTAGCCAGTAGCTGTAGGAATCAGGGTAGTAATTACAAGTGCCTCTGCCGTGACACTCAATAAAAGGCACTCGGCGGAAATTTTCCATGCATGACCCGGGAGACATCAGGGGTTGGGAGGAGCCTTCTGCTCCCGCTCCGGTTTGCTGCAAGATATAATAATTTTAAAAAACTGGATACGGCGTCTTAAGGGATCGAGCTATCCGGGAGCTAAAATCTTTGCTTTCTTACCATTATAAACGAGTAACCAGTCCACAGGGTCTCCCAACCTCTGGGACATTCAGGAATCAGAGTGTTCTGGCTATGGAAAGCTATGATTTTGGAGGCTGTTTCACAAACTGAGCACCTAAATCACAGATGAAAACGGAAAGCTGGGATGAGATGAAAGAAGTTTGTAAAAAAAAAAAAAAAAAAAAAAAAAAACTGTATAAAGACAAACTTCACTAAAATGATCAGCATTTTAGATGCTTAATTAGGTCTGATTTAGGTCCCATTGAAAATTTCGGGACACCATAGAAAATATTTAAATATGGCTGCCTGCCAACTTGACCAGTTAAACCAGTTCTGTTTGGAGGAATGGTCCAAAAGTCCAGAAAACTATTGATAGACACTTAAAGAAAGATGCTTTGAAACGAACTGTCACTTTATTGCCATTTAGGAAATCATAACTAAAAGAGGAAAAGCTTAATCTGAAATAATAGAAAGCAAGTTCATGTGCTGTTTTATAGTGTATAAAACCCTCTGGTTTTACAGTCTATATATTTAAGATAAACAAAAAAACTAATATTTTTTTATTTTTATTATTATTTTCAGAACAATGCTGTGTTGAATGTGTGTGCGTATACTCTTGTCTGACCTGCTGATGTAGGGGGCAACTTTATCAGCTGTGACGGCAACCATGTTGGCGGGCATGAGCTTATCAGTGGACAGCCAGTAGGAGTAGTCATTACGAGAAGCATAGCGGCAGGTGCTTTCTGTGTCGCAGAACAGGAAGGGCATGGTGGAGAAATGAGGGAGGCAGCTTCCAATGGTGCCTGAGAATTTAGAAAAAAAAAAACATTCAAGGAAATGTTTTGTTGTGACCCAAGTGAAAACCCAGATTACTGCGATCGGTGAAGTCCACGTTATTTATGGATATGATGATCTTTATGTTCGTACCAAGGTCCTGGCCATGAGCTCTCTCGTTTCCATTGACGAAGAGGAGGGAATAACCAGAGTAGATGAGACTGGTGCCATTAGGGCAGTCGGGGACCTTAATGCTCTGACTGTGCCTGGCAATCAGAAAGCCATCTGTGTAATGTGTAGCTGCTCTCCCAGGCAAACCTCTCAGTCCTTTTCGGCCGGGAATTCCTGGTCCGCCTACTTGACCTAAGGAGCGTATTTCAGGCAACTGTAATTGAAAACTTTTTAGGCATTTTCCATGTATGTCTGTGCAGATTCTCACAGCTGGACCTAACTTGATGTAAAAAATAAATAAAAATCACAATCAAATAAAATTAGCTAAACTTTAAGAGAGGAGTTAAAAGGACGTGAATACACTCATTAACCACTTTGTCAGGTCACACTGACAGTAAAAGGCTGGACCTTGTTTTACAAACAAACCTGGCAATCCTGCTTTTCCCTTGTCTCCTGTGTGGCCAGTGAATCCAGGAGGACCAGGAGAGCTCACTCCATGTGGTCCTCTGACGCCAGGTGGTCCTGGGAGACGAGATGAACGCGTTTCAACTTACTTATTGAAATACATATTTATTTATTATTATTTAAAACAGCTCAGAGCTGGTTTTGAATAATAATGGGAGGAAGCGTTTAGGCACCCCTGAATAACATTATAACATGACATAAAACACAAAAAAAGTCGATTTTACATAATTCTTCGCCCCTTAAAATAAACAGACGTCTTAAAATGGATGCACTGTTTACTTATTCGCTGGACAATAGAATCATAAACCTGTTCACCTGGCGGTCCTTGTGATCCTGGTGGCCCAATCGCTCCTGGAAGTCCTGGATTGCCTTTAGGACCAGGTAATCCAGGAGGTCCTGGTTCGTGTATCCTGTCAACATAGGCCGGTTCACCTTTGCGACCTTGAAGTACACAGCAGGAGAAAACAAGTGATTTGTAGAAAATAAAAAATAAAAAACACTGAGGATGGTAGTGTAGGATGATTAGGTTGAGTAAATGTTTTTCTGCTAATGAGGGCTGCTGACGGACCCGGGTGTCCAGGGAAACCTTTGTGCCCACGTGGACCACATGGACCTGGGCTGTATCCAGGATCTCCTCTGTCACCTATTGCATATAATTTGACAATATTTTCAAAGAGTTAGTTTGTTCTCACCACCTCCTGCATAAACACCACTTACATAGATACTGCAGACAAAAGCAAAAATGAAGTCTCATAAATCCTTTTTTTTTTTGTCTTTGGCTCCAGCATTTGAAGCTCTAACCATTTCATCGCAGTTGTTGGAACATAAATCATTTGTGCACCAGTATTCTGTTGCAGTGATAGATCACACTTTTGTCTGCGGTTGAAAGATGACAGATTACCAAGGGGGCCATGTCTCCCTGAGGGACCCGGGTCTCCTCTTAGTCCTGGGAATCCATTTACACCTGGTGGACCCTTAAAAAGGTTTGTGAGACCGAAAAAGTCAAAGGTTAGACTTGAAGTCATGAAGAAATACTTTTAGTTACAATTTCCTTGAAACACAAGTAGTAGAACACACAGAAAGTTTTCCAGCATATTCTGGACTTTTAGAAAAATAAAGAAACACAAGTATTTAAATGATTTTTAGGAGCTAAGCAAAAAACAGAATTCAGTTGTTACATTTATCTAATGAATAAAAAAATATATTAATACAGATTTTTAAATTAAAGTTTGTTGTCTGGTGATGAAGCAAATGTTACCATCACTTACATATGGTCCTTGAGGGCCTGGGTTTCCTGGGGGCCCACCAAAACCTGGGCTTCCTGGGAACCCTGGCTCTCCTCTGTCTCCTTTTGACCCTGATACTCTGAGACCTTGAGGGCCTGGTGGACCAGGGTAGCCTATATTAAAATGAAGTGATATTTGTGTAAAACACAAAGATTGTGGACAAAGATGGCATCTCTTCACTGAGAAATGTAGATAAGTCTAATTCTCCATCTCAACGTGCTCACCTTGGTTTCCTGGGTTGCCAGGGAATCCACGATCACCTTTAGGTCCTGGAATACAAGTCCCTTCTCTTCCTGGTAGTCCTGATTCACCATGAAGTCCAGGTAGACCTGGAGTTCCCCTGTCCCCTTCTGGTCCCGGACTCCCTCTGCCGAGCAAACCAGGCGGACCGATATCCCCAGGAGGACCTGAGTTAAAGAAAGAGAAAAAAAACAAAAACAAAAAAAAAAAACAGCTGAGGCAAACCACTGACACTCACCAGCTGTTAATATGGTTATTTACAATGCTTTGGACATAAAATAAATTCTTAAAAACAAAACAAAACATCACATTTATTGTGTGCATTTAAGGCACCTTCTAGATACCTTGAATTATTAAATTAAATTATTAAAATGTCCATTACTGTGATAATTGATGCATAGATTAAAATTCAAATATGCAAAAGGTTATGGATTTCTAATGCACTCAAAACTAAGAAAGCATTATTTCCTCAATAATTATTTTGCCTTCTACATTGTGACATCATTATTTACAGTACATATCAAGTCTATTCAGTTAGTTTAAATTTAGAGCCAAAATTGGTCTGACTAACAAAACCTTTCCATTCAATCGTTGGTCTTGAAGTAATGCATATTCACACTGGACTGTGATTTTACTATAGATCATCCTATGGGGTCAATTTATGTTCCAAAAGGATGCTCTGATCCTTCGTCAATGAACCATAAGTAAAACGTCATGTTTCTGTGTGAACTTTTCAACTATTGCAAAGTACGTATATTTTAAATGGAACCTTTTGAAGTTATTTAATTCATTGACCTGTAACTCACCTGGTGGGCCTGGATCTCCAGGTCTTCCTTGTGCTCCTCCTATTATAACTGCAAGGGGAGAGATTAAATCAAGATTGAGCTTCAAAGGAAGCAAACTTGTATCCGGCGAAAGAAAGAGACTTAAAGATGGATTTTGTTACCAGTGTCCCCTTTTTGACCCGGCGGCCCAGGAATACCATCAAGTCCCTGGCTTCCTTTTATACCACGTTGCCCAGTATGGCCTGGTGGGCCTGGAACGCCTGAGGAGACAAAAGTAAGGATGGAACCAGAACCTTTCAAGATTAAAGGGAAGAATTACTTCAACCAACAGAGGATGAGCACACAAAGCACACTGAACAAAAGCAGATTAAAGGAACCCAGTCAGATGATTTATAGTCCACTACGAAATGCACAGTGATTGAATGTAGCTTCAATAATCATGGAGTCACATGAGAAGACTTGGAAGATTTAGTCAGGAGCCTGGAAGCAGTATTTTATATAGACTACCACAGGTCCAGGGAAGTTTTGGACAGACGTATAGAGTGCATTACAATGACCCAGACGAGACTAAAGAAAAGCCTGAAACAGCTTCAAACCTGCTGACACAATTTTTAAAAGTAAAATCGGTAAGTCAGAGTTTGTCCCAAAGTTTCTGATAGGCTATTTTTGCCAAAAAGACCAACAGACTCAAGAATCTTCTTTATCTTAAATAGATTTTTCTGGTGCAAAGGTTAATTATTTCAGTTTTTTCTTCATTGACTTAAAGAAATTGTAATAGTTTGTTTTGTCCAGTAAAATATAAGTAAAGATATATTTTACTAGGTTGGTTGGCATCTGTGTTATTGTCGTGTCCTGAGGTTATATGACATGGTACCTGGTAGTCCAATAGGTCCCATGTGTCCTTTTATTCCGGGAGGACCATCAGAACCAATTAGACCCGGAAATCCTGGGGAACCTAAACCACATAATGGGAAAGACAAATAAGTGACAACGAAGAAGATGAAAATGATTTAAGATACAACCACAATGTAAAGAAAAACAAAATGGACTATCAGGGGGGATTATGTGTTTTACTCTATGCTACAATTAAATTAATGTTACTTTCAGTTGCTATGAAAATATTTTCCATATATGGCCTCTGTCTCTTTCAGAACGTCCAACCCTTTCCGATGCTCGACGCTCGGGTATGTGTTTTATTAAGATAATATAAAATTCAAAGACGTTGAGTTTCCATAAAATCCCCCCCTTTCAAAACAATAAGAAGTGAAATTTATTACAAATTACTTACAGACGGGGTGGACGGTGTAAAATCAACTTTATTTTAGCGGCATATTTGTTTTAATCTTATTCCACCATCAAAAACACACCTGGTGTGCCTCTGTTGTTGTCCTTTCCTGCATGTTTGAGGAATCCTTGAATTCCCGTGGCAACCATTCGGGGGTGCCTAAGCGCTTGCTCCCCCAAAGCACCGCTATTTACACAAAGCTCTTCCTTGGAGCTGCCGTCCCCACCTGAGCTTCCACCTCTCAGAGAAACCCTCCCCCGCTCCTCCTCCACACATCTACACCTCAGAGTAGCAGCAGCAATTAGAAATCGCCCGGTAGAACTACACATCTGCTGAGGTTATCATGCAAACGACTTCTTAATGCAAAGCTCCTAAAAACAGCTGTAAACGGTATAATGGAGTAGCATTATGATCTGTAGGTGGAGTGTGAGAAAGAGCAGGCGCTTGCTAAAGGGACACAGGCATTAATTTGCAAAGTCTACTTTTTGTTAAGCTATGGTTGATATATACTGAATTTTGATTACAATTAAAGGTGACATAGATACTTAATTATTCTGAAAAATGGCACTATGTGGGTGGAAAACACATAATAACCCCCATGTGGTATTAAAAATCAGTTTAAATAACCATTTTTTCCATCAGGTCCTGTGTTCCCCTTGGCTCCAGGGCTTCCTGGAGCACCTACTTGACCTGCAATCCCAGGTTCCCCTTTCTGTCCCCTGAGCATGACATCACTGCTGGACCCTGGTTCACCCTGGCATATAGGGAAAGAAAAAAAATAACCCACAAATTCTGTTTAAGTTTATATCCAGCTGCATATTTTTACTAAGCAGAACTAAAAGCATCATCATCAAAAATCCTTGTTAAGTCCTGAATGCCTTTTGTCCAGGTGGTCCAGGTGGTCCGTACACATAGCTTGGTTCTCCAGCAGCTCCTTTGCTGCCTGTTGGACCTGGAACACCATCTGGTCCCGGCCTTCCAGGAATTCCAGGATCTCCCTTCACTCCTTTGAGCCCTGTGGAAATTAAAACAAGCAGCTATTCTGATATAACAGCAGCAAAAAACCCAAAACAAAACAAAAAAAAAATGGTAGCTTAGCAGTAATTTCTACATTTTACAATTTATCTTACAAACTTGTTAGACTCAACAGTGTTACTCCTCTTACTAAAACAAAACATATAACAGTGGAAGGAATATTACATTATATTAAATTGTCACATGCTAAACCAACTGCTCTTCGGGGAGAGGTTTAGATCAGGGGAATGTTTATGGTGGCTGCAGGGGTGTTATTTACTGAAGATTTGGCATTTATAATTTATTACGCATTAAGGAACCAGCACATTTCTGCTTCTACTCGCTTTGGTTTAAGTATTGGACTTTATTGTGCTGCTAACTTTATTTGACCAGTGATAGGATAAAACTTTGAAAATCCTTTTTATTGGCTTAGGAAGACAGTTTTTAGGGTGATATGTAAAATGTGAGCAGAACAATGAAATGACTCTTGTATGATAATATTTAGTTGATTTTATTCTTACTCTGCTATAATAAACAGCAAAGAATAAATTCTTTATGAATCTACTGTTGCATGAAATGAGAAATGTGATTTGAGTTTCTTTCAGTTTTTGCACCTCATTAGGAAACAAGAAAATTCTTGCCATTTCTCAGTTTAACAGTGAAATATCCGTGAGAAATAAGGCCAAGACATATATCTAGGCTTACATTTTTAGAAGACGGTGGTTTTAATTTGTCGCGTTGGCACGATTCCTTCAATGGAGAAATTCTTACCAGGATGACCCTTATGACCAGAATCTCCCGGGGCTCCATCTGGTCCTCGCCTAACTTCGGATCCCGCTTGGCCATCAACGCCAGGTTCTCCAGGAGGACCTGTGCTCTCAAACAAACACGGGACAGGTCAGGTCTCCGATCAGTGTGTTAGAATATTTGGGATGAAACAATGGCAATTGATAGTGGACCTCTTTGCCCCAGATCCCCTGGTGGTCCAGCTCTTCCTCTCTGCCCCTTTGGTCCAGGTCTTCCAGGATCGCCAGTGAGACCAAGTAATCCAGGATTTCCTAAAAGAAATAGAACAAGAATAATCTTAACATTCACGTAGTTGAAAAAAACAACAACAGATTTTCACAAAAAAAACAAAAAAAAAAACAAAACATGCTCATCACATGAATCATATTTTATTCAATATCATCTTGAAAGTGCAGTTGGTTGTGAAATTATAGTTGGAAGAGAAACTCTTATAATAAGGGAACCTGGTTCTCCGGGGTTTCCCGGAGGCCCATTGTAGAAGCGTGTTGGACAAGGAAGTCCTGGAGGGCCTCTAACACCTGGGTCCCCCACCATGCCTTGGGGTCCTTGACGACCTCTTGCTCCGTCTGGGCCTGGGTCCCCTGTCAAAGAAATTTGACCGAATCTAGCTTGTGAACCATAAACAAATCTCTACCAACATGGGGATACATTTTGAAGATGTACATCAAACATTGTAACCTAAACACACGACTGATTGATGAAAGTTTGCATTTAATGCGTAACACTTACCTCTTGGTCCAGGTTGTCCTGTATTCCCTGGTTTTCCGTCTGGTCCACGTCCAGATATACCATCAGGTCCAGGGTCTCCTATTTGTCCTAAAATACATTTTGATGTCAGTGAAAATGGGTGAAAAAACTCTGCTTTATATGCACTGTATGTTTTCTACAGCACTTTAATGGATCAAGCATCCGTAGATGAAATAACACATGGAATTAACTATTATGCAAGAAAATATTTTTAAAATACATTTTATATCTTATAACCTGAGGACAAATAAGACATGACATGCACCCGGTTTGCAACTAATGGCATCGTTAGTTGTTTTTCAATTGCATGCTGCACAAAACAGGTCTAGTAAGGAATAATTCTTTGGGGGAAAAAAAGATGGCAAAGTGCAGCATCAGACTGTGAATCCCAACCCTTATAGCGTGAAAGAGTTGTCCTTCAGAGCAGCCAACAGACACTTAATGTATCTGGGAACCCATTCAACAGACTAGTAGAAAGGCAATCCAAGAGATTAAAAGCTCAACTACTGATTTTGTAGATTTTATTTGCTGGGAAGCTTATAGCAAACTTAGATGAGCCCTAAAAAAAGGTATGCACAAATGACAAAGGGCGTCTGAATACATATGCCTGCGCTACTTTTAATTTTTTTTTTTTTTTTTTTTTGTAAATAGTAAAAACCGTATATTTTTCCTAATAAGCACAGGTTTGTGTTGATATGTCACACAAAACACAAACTTTAGAAAACATAAAGTTTGAATAGCTTTAGAAGAGACTGGACCTACATATACAAAGAGAGAAACGGATAGATGGAAAGACTAAGATAAAATAAACCATCGTATGACCTCTTTGACCAGGCCAGCCATCTCGACCCCGAGATCCTTTCTGCCCTGGAGGCCCATGTGGACCCGGAACTGACAATCCAGAGGTTCCAGGACCACCTTGAAGGCCAGGAGAACCAAATCCAGGTAAACCCGCATTACCTTTCTCTCCAGGCGAGCCATTAGCTCCTTGGGGAATGAAAGGAAGAATAAAACAATGATAATTATTAATAGAAATCTAAAGTTAAAGGGTAGACAACTACAAACCAGACATCTCATGTATTTGTCACATCTTATACATTACCTTCTTCTAAATGTTGTATTAAAGGACTCTAGGTTCATATAGGTTTTACCTGTATCTCCTGTATGTCCATCCGGTCCTGGACGTCCTATTGGTCCAGGCAAACCGATACATAAATCTTTGGTACCAGGAAGCCCTGGAGGGCCAAGAGAACCTTTTCTTCCTTCAGGAAGAATGAAACAATGTGAAAAACAGATGAATGCTAATCTAAAAAAACCAAGAAAAAAAAAACACTATTTGTCTGCATCAAGAAGTCCTTATCATCATTGTACTTTTAAACTTTAAATTCTTAGCTACCTTTTTCTCCTGGAGGCCCGGGTTTGCCAATTATTCCAGGATTTCCTGGAAGACCAGGGATTCCAGGATCGCCGGCAGGCCCTGGAGCTCCATTTTCACCAGGTGGTCCCGGAGGACCCGGACGACCAGGGTGTCCGTGGCCACTGTCACCCTAAATGGGGTAATTAATTCCATGACTAATTATTTAGTCAATACTGTAGAATCAAATAGCTACACTAAAGAAAATAAATACATGTCATATAAGTTCAGCTTCTTACTTGCTAAATGCTTTAGAGCTTTAGGAAATGCATATCCTCTATTTCTTATCCTTAAAAACCTAATGAATTGCTTTAGAGTGTGAATGTCTACTTCTGTACAACAAATACCATCCGGTATGTTTTCACTGAAGACTTCTGACCTTTTCTCCGGGGGCACCAGGAGGGCCTGGAGGACCAAACTGCCCAGGTGAACCCCAACCTGGAGCACCTGGAAGGCCAGGCAGCCCCTTATCACCTAAACAATCGCAAAAAAAACAAAAAACAAAACATGGATTATACAATAACAAAATAGAATTTCCGAGTATAAATGTGAGCAACTTGTAAATCCCTTGTGCATTACCTTTCTGCCCTGGGGGTCCTGGCTTTCCACTAAGTAACAAGTCCCCTCTTTCTCCTTTTTGTCCTGCTTTGCCTGGATTTCCAGGGACACCCGGTAGTCCTTGAACACCTGGATGAGTTTTTTTTTTTTTTGTCAGAATATAAGTTATAACATTTTCTGTGATAAAAGTGGAAATAGTGAGAGCCGGAGCTAAGCACTCAGACAGCCAGCTAGTTGATCGTGATTACCTGGACTTCCTTCAAAGCCAGGCGGTCCTTGAAATCCTTGTGGTCCTGGTGGGCCTTGGGTATGAAAATGACCAGATTCGCCTTTTTGGCCTACAAATAAAATGGAGGAAACTTTTATGAGTACTTTTGTGTGGCTAGATTTTAATGTAGATTGAAATGACCTTTGTTTTCACACCTGGAATTCCAGGTTCTCCTGGCAGACCAGGTACACCAGTGTGTCCTTTGGTCCCTGGTAGACCAGGAGGTCCATAACCCGCTGGTCCAGGGTAGCCAATGGGTCCTTCTTTCCCTTGAGGTCCTGGTGGACCAGGAAACCCAGGATCTCCTTCTACTCCAAGGCGTTCGCACTAAGTGAGGGAAGGAACCTTGTTAGATAGTTGTTCCAGATGGCCCACCATTTAAGAAACACCAAAAATCATATCATACCTATGGTGAAGAAATTGTCATAAATTTTACCAATTCTCCAGGAGGCCCTGGAGTGCCTTTACTTCCTGGTAAACCCGGAGATCCAGGAGAACCATTTGGACCGGGTCCTCCAGGGAGTCCTGGTTCTCCTTTTTCCCCCTTCAGCCCTGGAGAGACATTACCGGATGGCTCTCCCTTTTGCCCCGGCTGGCCTGGGAATCCTGGTAGACCAACAGACCCCTTTAGCATGAAAAGGAAAAACAAACAAAAAACATTTGATCATACATTGTACAATGACATTACAATAGGATACAACTTGGGTACAAGTCTGCAAATTTTCTGGCAAGTAAATTTTCTTTGGTTGACTATTGGTATCGCAACAAAGTTCAAGTGATAGGGGAGGACAGCAACTAAGCCACACAGTGGTAAGCTTAATGTAATCATAGTGTAAGGACAGCAGATGCTGAGGAGCATAGAGTGCAGAGGCAATACCTACAAACTGTCAAACTTCATGTGACCTTCAGATTAGCTCAAGAACAGAGAGCAATGAGCCCCACAAGGCTTTTATCACTAAATGCAACGCGAAGGACTTGTTGGTGTTGTGTGAAGCATGCCACTACAGGACTGTAGGGCAGTGGAGACTTGTCATCTCGAGTAATGTTTCATCCAGTGGATGTGTCAAGGTTTTGCAGTTGCCCGGACAAATGCCCCTTTTCCACCGGCTGCACTTAAACTGGCCAGTCGTGAACAGGCTGCTGTTCACGACTGGCCAGGAAGCAATGAGGAACGACACGATTTTCACCAAAGTAGTGCAGGGAAAAGCCTTTCAAACTCAAGAGTTTCTATAATAACATTTAGAATCATGAAGGAAGCAGCAGATGAAACATAAACATAATTTTACTTATGACGACTTAGGTTTCAAAGGCTTAGGTCTAAACCGTATGTTCAAGGTAATCATCCCAGTGGATCTGCAAATTTTCTGGCAACTAAATTTTCTTTGGTTGACTGTTGGTATTGCAACAAAGTTCAATACCAACTTTGTTGCAATACCAACAAAGTTGGTATTATGTTTTTATGTTTTTATTCATTTTACATTAAAAAAGTATAAAAAAGTATAAGAAAGTCTTGCATATACAGTACAATAGTGAAAACATTATTTGTATTTCTTTTAGTTATGTTTTTATTTATTTACATATGCATTTGATGCAAGACATTTTGGACAATTTGACACAGCTTTGTGGTAGAATTTTGCCAAAAAACAATCCTCGGTGAGAAATGTCAAGTGTACCAGCGACAAAGTGACATATAATCGAAGCATGTAGAGTCACAGAAAATAAATATGTAATAGCAGAACTAAGAATAACCTTCTCTACAGTAAGGGTTAATTTACATCACAATATACTGTGCAGTTATTGAAAACAGCATGCTCCAACCTAAGCAAATGTGCAAATGAGTAGTAGACTGTAGATGCAAAGGTTAGACAAGTAAAAGCATAACATATAACAAACAAATCTGCAATGTGATCATGATGCACTTTCTTACTGGAGGTCCTGGTAAACCTGAAGGACCTGGAAAGCCGGGATCCCCCTTTTCACCCCGTCCTTGATTAGTGCCTGAGTGACAGTGGACATATATATATATATATATATATATATATATATATATATATATATATATATATATATATATATATATATATATATATATATATATATATATGTATAAATGTATCAGGATTTCAAAGATGTTTCAAATCATCATTCATACAGGATATTCTGGTTTTATTAGGGGACAAAATATAAGTGTGTCCTTTGTGTGTGAAGTAAGGAACTGTACCAGGAAGGCCAGGTGGACCTCGGAGACCTGCTGGTCCTGAAAGTCCCGATGTTTGACACTCATAACAGATCTCCCCTCTCTCTCCTGTTATGTTCAGCAATGGGGGGAAAATATGATGATTTACTTCCTATTAATATAACTTTTTAACTACTTTTAGTAATGATAAAACTTAACATTAAATTTCTGACCTGTTTCTCCAATATACCCATTATTCCCCGTAGGTCCTGGTAAACCTTTAACTCCCTTGATCCCAGGGAGACCCTTAATGACACAGTCAGCTAAAAGTCGCTCAAAAAAAAAAAAGAAAAAAAAAAAAAGTTAATTAGCTTTCTGATCACACAAAAGCATTTTTATGTTTATGTTATTATTCAGTTCGATCACAACAGATGTTGAATATATTAGTAAATATCATGTGAGTTTAATGCAAATGAAAACTGATTTGCATTTGGATTATGATGCACCAAAGAGAAGAAAATGAAGTAATTAAATATGATTAAATATTAAATATTTAAACATTCTGTCATCCATATGGAGTTGACTGTGCTGGTCAGCAATATTATAGCATGAATGCTTACAAAGCCTTGTTAAATATCAATGAAATATATATATATATATATATATATATATATATATATATATATAAAGAATCTATTTATAATCCTGTGAAGAAGTATTTGACCCCTTGTAGATTTTATGGGGATTATTTGTTTAGGAGACTGAAATGATTTAAATCAACAAACAAATTTTTATTTCAGACAACAAAGTGCCCCCTGCAAAATTCACACTTAGGAAGGACCCTTGCAATTAAAAATAAAACAGTCTTAAAAAAATGCTCATGTCATTGCTAATTTAATGGCACCCTCTGAGCAAACAGTTTTCATATCGCTCAGTAGCCTCTACGTTTTTGGTTAATATTACTCAGAGGACATATGTTGTTTTTAAGATCAATGTTTTTTTGTTTTTTTTTTTTTTTTTTTTTACTTACTTCCATTTACAAAGCGTCCAGGTTTGCCTTGGTTTCCCCGAGGCCCTGGATCACCAGGATCACCATCTAGCCCTGGAGGCCCTGTGTAAAACCCCCCAGGCTCCCCAGGGTCTCCATTGTGCCCTTTTGGGCCTGCGAACCCACGTTCACCTGGTACATAAATCCCAAGTGCATAACCTACATAAACACAATATGAGAAGAAAAAGAAGATATTTTGAATGTGACAGTAACTGCAGCTAATGCCAACAGTGAGATAGTCTGTTGTTCATACACACCTGGAGTTCCAGGGGGCCCCGGAAACCCTAAAACACCTAAACATATATTTATATATATTAATTTATCATTTATTAACTTTGTGCAATAAAACAAGCATTCATTTGTAGTTTTAAACTCCATACCAGTGCAGAAACAAAATTGCTCATAATCTGTCATTATGCACAATGAATGGATGAGATCGATTAGATAAAATAGCAAAATGAACAAATGTCTTTCTTGTACTTGCTGATTTGTCAGCTAGTTATATTCCTCTACCTCGGATCCCAGGGAACCCAGGGAGACCTGGAGGGCCAGGATCTCCAATGTGTCCCTTGAGTGGTTCGAGCAAAAGTATCTGAAAACAGCAGCACAGAGAGAGAATGTCCAGAGGTTTCCTGGATTAGAAAATTACAACAGATTGTTTTCTCATTATGCTAAAACAACAGATGTGAAAGCCGAGCTACTGTAGAAATACAATTTTTAAGGTCTTGATGAGCATGAACAAGTTTGATAACTACTGTGAACAATATATATGCACAAAAAGTGAATATTAGTGCAAACTCACATCTCCAGGTGGACCAGATGGACCCCTGTTTCCTTTTTCACCCTAAAAAGACAAGATACAATTATAATATATTTGAAGGCAATTTACGATGGATGGATGGATGGATGGATGGATGGATGGATGGATGGATGGATGGATGGATGGATGGATGGATGGATACTGACTAACCATTCCTCCTAGTGGGCCTGGATGTCCTGGCTCTCCTCTGCGTCCTGGTCTTCCCTAAGCAGAACTGCATTGTATTCAAAACTTGCAAAACACAGATAAAACAGTGAAGCATTTTTTTTTTGTGTGTGCATAAACTAAAGTAGTGATTACCCTAAACCCAGGATTTCCAGGTTCACCATCCTTTCCTGGCTTTCCCTGTAAATTATACATACCAACATGGACTTACTGAGGTGTGCTTTAACTAAATGAAACTTTGAACCCTTGTATTGAAAAGCTATGTTGACACAAATAGTAGCCGATTACACTGTAATTTAAATGCATAGCAATTTTTAAATGTGCTGAAACAGATTTGTCCATCAGAATGGGAGCCTTACTCGTTGACTCTGAGCCATTTCCACATCGTATGTGACTTCACACAGAACTGAGTTAATTTGTATTCACTGTATTAATTCATTTTGTAAGCGGCAGATGAGTTAACCATGCCAGCTCATGTTGATTACATGCTTTGCTGGGGAGACGGAATACAATCACGGTAAAAAAAAAAAAAAAAAAAGTACAATCCTTACAAATCACACAGATCTGGTATATAAAAATATCTAATATTTACCATGTTCAAAAATTATTACGAACTAATCTCAATTTTGCAAAACCTTACCATAAATGCCAGTGATGAGCAGGCAAATGAACTGTGTAATCTAATCTAGGCAGAGGGATTACCTCTTGCTAAAGCAGAAGAACTGAATAAAAAGGTTTATGCTGCATTGCTGCCCTCTGTTGGTCATATATTTTTTTTCTTATTTTCTTATGTGTTGCAGATCAAAACTGAAAAGTAAGTTAGACAACAGGCTACATGGACAAAGGCATGTTAGCACATTTTTATCCTCACTTCTGGGCCTGGGTTTCCTCTGTCTCCCTTTTGCCCTTTTGTGTGGTAGAGGCTCCCAGGATCTCCCTGAAGAAGGATTAAGCGAAGGCACGGATAAGAAAGTTGCATGGTTCTAAAACAGTCAGATATTTCCAAAGTCCTACAGGCAGAGATGAACAAGTTCATGAATTCTAGAGAGAAACTTACAGGTTCGCCTTTGCATCCTTTGTCTCCTGCATCGCCTCTATCTCCTTTTAAATCCTAATGAACACAGAGAAATGAAGTTAGCCTGCAAGAAAGGATGACCCTAAAGAAAAACAAGAACACAGTTGTTGTGGATTGGCAGTTTAGGAATATCCTTTTGACTTCAAAATAGTTTTTTTTTTTTGTTTTTTTTTTACCTCCAGAAGACACAAAACTGTACTGGTTACTTGCCACTAGAAAAGATGGAACAGCTGATGAAGGGATTTTTTTTATTATTATTATTATTTTTATGGAACTCCAAGAGGGATGGCAAATCTGTTATATCATGTGCATCTGCAATATTTTAGGTTTTATCAGTCCAACTGTGACATTTTATTGTTTTTTTTTTTTTTTTTTTGTTGTTTTTTTGTTTTTTGTTTTTGTTTTTTTACAAAAAGGGAATAACACAGCATTATGCTGAGGATAATTAAAAAATGACTTTTATTATACCGTTATTGACAGGGTGCCGGTAAAAAAGTCCTTAGTCCTGCCTGGAGGCCCAGGCGGGCCAGGGGGGCCTTGGAAACCCTACAGCAGAAAAATGAATTTTAGCGATATCTGATCATGATGGTAAGGTATAAAAAAAGAAACTACCTTTGGTCCTCGAGTTCCTGGAGCTCCTTCCTGGCCCTGCAGGATGGATGCAAGCCTTTGAAGTTTGTTTTATAATCAATCACATATTATAAACTCTATCCACGTCCCAAATTTAGGAACTCTGCTCTACAATCACAAACATCCACAAAAGTAAGCATATTCCTATCACCAAAGCTATTCAAAAATTTCTCCTAAACTGAACAATTTCTCTCAAACTTTACTGATGATCTTGTTATGCCCTTAAGTTTTATATTTTTTATTTTTCATGCAAATAACTTTTTATACCTTGATTTTGCACAATGCTGTGACCAAATTAGAAATGCAAAGAGCACATGCAATAAAAACATAAAATATTCATACTCAGCATCTGATTCTTTTACCTCACTTATGATAACTGTAGATTTAAAATGCTTGTAAAGTTGGTGTACAGTGATGCCTCCAGAAAGGTTGTAGCTTTTCTGAACTGAACAGTTCCAGAGTGAACTGTCAAAAAGAAAACTTTACAAATTCACTAGACAATCTTGTTCAAAAACAATGATGTCAGGACTTTTGTCAGTGACACTTTTAATGGCATGAATACTTGATTATGATTAATGGACTCTCCATTTTGAGCAAGTGACACTCTTTTAAAAGTTATCACCAAGGTTTTGCAGTTAATTGTTTTGAGAAATGTTCTCGCTGTTGCGCCAACGTTAATGCTGATGTGAGAAATACACCAATGAGACTGAGAAAAACGGTAAAGCAGATAAGTGAACACTGCTACGGGAAACCAAAACCACAATGGGTGGACGTTTAGTCTCTCCACGGTTGGACAAAAACTGATAATGAGGAAAGAAGTACAAATAAAAGACTCTGCAGCTGTGGCTTCTGGTTCTATTGCAAGAACTGAGAAAATATTAGCACATTTTTAATGAGTGTAAGTTATTTAATGCATGCACACCTTGGTACCAGGAGCTCCAGTATTACCAGGAGACCCCTGAAACAGAAAAGTTTGGATTAACCATTGCATAAGAAAGAAAGAAATAAATAAAGACAGATACTTACAGGAGGGCCCCTTACTCCAATGTCCCCACGTAGTCCTATCTCACCTGGTAACCCCGGAGAACCCTACATACAAGGGGAAGAAGAAGAAGAAAACAGAAAATATTTATTACATGTCTGAAGTAAATAAAGGTTTAATTTCATCAATTTCATTATTCAATATTTTGATTGATTACAATGTGGTTCAATAAAAAAAGAGTTGTTTTTTTATTAGTATTAGTGCATAATACTATTGTTTATAAAGTTACCGGTCTTCCATCTTTTCCCTGTGGTCCTTGTGGCCCTGGCACTGAGTCAGCTGTTGTCTGTGAGTCACCCTGACAAACAGACAAAAAATATTCACTTGGCCCATTTAACATAAAACTTTATGAATCTCATTTTCTTTAAAAAAAATGTATGGATAATTTATTTTCTTCCTATTTTGTCTATCTCTGTTGATTCGGAGACAAGACAAGACAGATTTGAATTTTAAAGTGGCGCTATGTGGCGTCTAAGACAGTGTTAAACTCACAATCTTGAATATATTGAACTTGGTTTATTTCCCAGAAGTATCATTGAGCAAAAATGCTGGAATAAAGGAGTGTCTAAGAGGTGCAGTCAAAATGCCCAGTCATGTTGGCAGACAGCAAGCATTACTTAAATATATATGAGACCACATACAAAACAAGTAATTAGGTCTACACGAACATAAACACACACAAAAATAATCAAAAAGCTTAAAAAAAATCGCTATTCAGTCGCCTTTATGCATTCGCTCAACACTTTACAGTACAATAAAGCTTTAACATAAACAAATGCCTTGATGCATAAGAAGAAAACACAGACTTGTGGGATAAAAAGCAGTGAAAAGGGAGAAGAGGCAAATCTTAAAAAAAAAAGTTATCTGTCTCATATGGGCCTGATACAAAATTAGCTCATGGAGCAGAGACGGAAATTGTGCTGCATCATGTTGTTTTTTTATGGCGCTTCAAGACTCTGCAACTCCTAAAAGATAATTATTATGCAGCAAATTTGCTGTTTCACCTTTCATGAATAAAAACCGCACTAAACAAAGAGCTTAGAACAGCATACCCTACCTTAGGACCAGGCTGACCTGGAGGTCCCTGTAAAGTAAAAGAAAAAGATGGAAAAAAAAAGATGAATATTCATCAAGATAGAACAGTGGAGATAGTTGTTTAGTATTGGAGTTTACTCCTTACTGGATTTCCATCAATACCAGGATCTCCTTCAACACCTGGAAGTCCAGGGTCTCCCTGTTGAGTACATTATTTTGTCAAAGTAAGAAATGTATAAACAAAAATGTGTAGAAAATTTGTATTTTCCTCACATCTGTTCCATTGCAGCCTGGATAACCCGGGGGCCCTAGAGGCCCCTGTAAACCTGGAACACCCTATGAGATAATGTTAGCTAAAGTTAAAAGGCAAACTGGATGTATGGACTCCAGAACACAGAGGGTAAGATTTTGTACAATAGAAACACATGAGGAAACTAACTGGCAAGCCATGAGATCCAGCAAATCCCTCCTTGCCGTCTGGTCCCTGGAACAACAGAAAGAAAAACACATTACATTCTGCTTTTAAGGGCAACACCAGCAACTGATTTGGCTGTGAGGTGCAATCATGTTACCGGATCGCCTTTTGATCCCATCGGTCCATCAGACCCAGTATTGCCCTTTCAAAGAATGCAACACGTAATTAATCTTAGAGATCCTGAAAGACGTGTTGCTAAAAGTGTCACAAAAAAAGTGCAATTTATCATCATCTCTGGCCAATTCACAATCATGATGGAGGCAGAATAACAAGAGTGTGACTGAATTTCTACCTTTGGTCCTGTTGGCCCAGGTTGACCCAAGGATCCTGGGTGCCCCTCTGATCCTGGAAGACCCGGATCTCCTGGAAAACCTTTCTCTCCCTGTGTGTTTAATGTATGAGTGTTTGTCAAAAAATACAGAAATGTAAAACTAAATAAAAGCCTTTGCATGCATGCACAAGTTTATTAGCGATTATTGTAACATTCAGAAAGTTATATCATTATATTGAGTTTATTCAAACTGAATTAACTGAACTTGAAATTATAAAAACTTGAAATTATAAAAAGGCCATTAGCCACACCAATATTAACCGGTTCACAGAAATAAAATGAAAGTATGAATAATTTGGCTCGAATGAAAATATAGCTATCCAAATGTTTACATTTTCTGCTCTCGCTACCTGCATGTTTTAATCTTTGTTGATTTAGCATTAGGATTGGACAGTGTTACTACATTCTCTCTATTTTAACTGGAAGGTTTTCAAATGCTCCCATTTCAGGTTGTTTTGTAGCTTAATTGATTATAGTTTCTTTATTATTTTGTTTTAGTTTCTTATTTTGGTGAGAACAGTCTTGTTCTCGATCAAACCAAAACAGATCAGGAACAAGGCCAGTCCTTTCTCAGGGATTCTAGTTTTTGTGTTTTTCTTATCTAGTTATTCCTTATTACTTTAGTTTAATTGTGTTTCTTAGGTCTGGTTATTCTACTAGCTCATCAGCCCAGGTTTTTTTGTTCCAGCATTCTCCCTCACTGTATTTAAACTCCTTCCTGTTTAAATCCTGTCACATTCTGGTTAACCTCCACATCGATGTTCTGCTTGCTTTTTTGTTCCTGGTTCCTGGTTTTTGTTCTGCTCTGGCTCCCTGTGTTCCATGTGTTCTTTTGTAATTTTTAAGATTTTATTAAAGACCATTGTCTGTGATCCATGTTCTAAGCTCCTGTCTGCATTTTGGGTCCACCAACAAAGACACCATGACACGTTTCTTAGTTCTCACACACTATATGCTTGAGATAGTAAATTGGACTTTGTTCTACAAACACTGCGCACACATAGAGTACTTTCTACATAGAAACATATACAAAAAAAAAAAAAATCTATCTAAACAACTGTCTCTATGGTATGCCTGAATCACCAAGACAGGTCATGTCACAAAAGGATAAAAAATGCAACTTTGTTTTTTTTAAACCAAGGGTAAAAGAAGCAGTTTTACTTTAGAACTGTTCCTTGTAAATTTCAGTCCTGAGAAAACCCGGTAAGTGCAGAATAAACAAAACAATGTGTGGCAAAGCCACAAACTGAACTTACCCTGTTGCCTTTTACTCCTTTACAGTGGCATCTTGACTTTCCATTGCATACACACTGTGAAATAAATAAATGAAGGTATGCAATTTTAAAACATCAAATATCAAGAAAAAGAAGAACTCTTCAAAGACTTTCTCTTATTTTGGTATTCAAGTTGACTGTCACCGAAGAAAATGTATCGATTTGAGTTAGTCAGTGTTGTACTTAGAAAAGATCTAAAAAGGACCTGTAATTCTGTAGTGACAAAATAGTGTATATGCTGTATGGTGCAAGCAAATATAATTGGAGATGGTTTGATATGTGTAGGCTTTCAGTACAGTACTAATGAAGGGTAAATAAACCAGCCCTAAGACTGGTTTATTTACCTTCACTGTAATTAATTCAGTTTATCGTGGGCATGCAGCATAATTAAAGGATGAAAATAATTACACACTATAATGTCTTGCTTTGGCAATCCCTGCTGCTATGCAGAAACGATATACAGTAAATATATGGATAAATTAAGTTTCAAAATTTTTACCTTGTAAATCAAGTTGTTATTATTATTATTATTATTATTATTATTATTATTATTTATTTTTTGCAAATTATTTAGTTATCTTATTCAATTTTTTAAAAGACAAATAAAGGGAAGTGTATACACTAGAAGTGCGTCAAATTGCCATCTGCAAAAAAACAAAACAAAAAAAAGAAAACCCCATTTTATACAGGCTTATATGTCCCATATAAATAAAGTAACATTCACTTACAGACAAAACACAGCTCTGCATATCCACACTAAAACAGCAATAAATACACGAGTAATCGACTGGTACTACTCAAGATAAGCAATAATTTAGCAAACAATTAAAGAAATTACACTCAACAAATTAAGTATAAAGATGGACTGTTTTAAAGTTTCATCAAAATTTGGTTTCAGAAAAACATCCAATTTTAAGGACAAAAATTTTAAGATACTATCACTGCTAAGACATCTGTGTATTTAGATAAATCAACCACAAACCATAATGTGACAAGCATAATTCAGCAATGAGCCCAGCCTGTATGATGCAACATGAGAAAAAAAAAATAGAAAAGCTGAATATGTTTTACTCAAGAATTGCCTTTTGCATGTGGTTACCCAGTTTGAACGACACATAAATATTAAAATCAACTTTATACACTGAAAAAAACAACAACAAACAAATACAAAAGCAAGAAACATCTTACACTTTTTCCTTCAGTGAATGTCGAGATCATTACAAAGAAAGTCAGGAAAACTATGATCGCTTGTGGTCTCATGATTTTCCTCGTCTCATTCACATCAGTCCCTGATTAAGATCCTACGTTCTTCGAAGACGCTGAGTGTCGTTTTTGTGGTCCTCCGCTGCAATCAGGTTTCACATCCCACTCTGTCCACTGCAACACTTTAGATGCTGGTGGATCATTGCTGCAGTAAAATCACAGTTTAAGTCCGTTCAAGTGTCTTGCCACAGGCCAGAAAGCTGAAAGGAAGTTGTTTAACTGGACCTTGAAGAAGGGAGGTGGTATGCACTTACTGAGATGATTTACCCCAAACAATATTCTTGTGCTCATCTCATTCCCACCGACGGCAAACAGTGGCAGTTTGGCTTTTCATTGACTGTGAGACGGATTATTTGGGGTCTGCTGAATCCTTCATTGGAATAAATTGAGAGGTTTGGTAAGTTGTGAATATTTCTAAGGGTGAATGAAAACCTGTAGACAACAAGGTTAACAGACTCTTGGAAATATCTGCCTTTTTTATTATGTTAAACAAGAGTCAATGATATGCTAGATTTTTTTATTTTTTATTTTTTATTTACTGACCTGTGGCTAACTTGACTTTGTTGTATGATGTTCTTTTTTTATCTACCAAAGGGGGCAGCACTGAGGCCTTCAGTAACTTCAGCAGCCTCAGAAGATGAGCGATGGCGTTCAAAGTAACTTTCATGATGTTTTTTACCTCCTGGTAAGCCCATTGCATTTTTTTTTTATTTACATCTAATTTGATTATTGTTATCTGTGTTATATATTCTTTGGAGAATATGTTTAATTCAGTCACACTGGATCAATGATGTCTTTTAACATCACAATTTTAAGTCTTTTCATGCATTTTCATTTTTATATTGTCCAATATGTATTTGACTGCTGATTTGTCTTGCTGGAAGGTGAACAGCCACCACAGTTTGCAACCATAATTATTTAAATCTCCACCCATCAACTGTGACTAATTTTCTGAATCAACTGAAGAAAGGTCATCCCACAGCATAATGCTGCCACGACTCTGTTTGACCGTGATAATGGTGTGTTCAGGGTGATGCGTCTCAGCATTAACTCTCCGTTTTGTGTGACAGCCAGAAAGTTGACCTCATCTCATTAGAGCACCTTTTTCGTCATGCTTGCTACATTCCCAACACTTCTTCCTCAGCAATGGCATTAGTTGTAATACTGGCTGAGATTTGTATGGTGTATGATTAATAGGCTTCCTGTCAACATACTCCCCCAGGTGAACTTTCAACCTCAGAGCTCTGGTGCTCTTGGGTGCATCTCTTATTTATGTTCCTCCTTGGCTGACTTGTCAGTTTCTGAGGACAGCTATGTTTTGGTGGTTTTGTCCTTGGGCAGTTTTTCTCTTTAAAGGAATAGTGATGGATCATACCCAGAAGCAACGGCTCTAAAAGTAGTGAATCACAGAAGAATCAGTTTTCACCTCTGTTTCATATCGTTGTTCAGTTCTTACTCTCATCGGCCCACCCTGCTCATGGAAGAACCTTGCTTCAATTGTCAACATGGCAGCCTTGTGGCCAATTACATGAATATTTTGGATAATACCATTATGCGAAAACAGTAGCAGAGGGCAGATGTGACAGTCAGGTCAAGGATCTGTCCGTTCCTTCAGTCAGTAGGCAGCGGTGAGGCAAAGTCAGCCTCAGTACTTTCAAAATGCAATTTCATTTCCAACCTGGGCCCATGTGAAAATATTATTGTGGCCTTAGTTAAACTACTTCCTACCTATAATAAAGTATAACATGTTATATGACTTAAACTAGGAACCCAGAAAAGAATCCAAATTTATATCTAAAACAGCACAGACCCCAGTTTCTCTAGCTGTGGTGTCCTTAGAGGTTGGTGTTTAAGATTCAACAAGAAAGAGACAAAAATGACGTCCATGGGAGAGTGCTAAGACCAAACTACAGATGACCAGAGGGAACACAAAGGCCCATCTAATATTGCTTAAAAAAAAAAAAAAAACATCTTCACCAAGACAAAACACATCTCACGCAAAGTAAAACATTATAATTGTCTTAAGATGATTTTTGCCTTGATTGTCAGTTTGTGAGGATGGCTCTCATCAAGACAGATTTACACATGGGTCATATTCCTTCCATTTTATGATAATAGATTTAGCTAAACTCCACAGGATGATATTTATTTTGTTGTATCCATCCACCAGGTTATATGTCTCAGCAACCTTTTGTCAAAAACCAAATTTTGTTGATCATAAGCGATTAATAGACGAAATACAAAGGGCAAAACGGACACTTTTTTATACGGGGGAGTTCCTCACTTTTTCACACAGGGCGGGGTAGGTCACAATACCCCTACGTAACTCTTCAGACAAGTTAGTATGCACAGCAAGTACATTTGAAATTCATCGGGATGCTTACGTAAAATGTTCTGTAGGTCTATTTACTTAGATACAAACAATCTTCTGGTCTGTTTATTCAGATATTCCACACATCTGCTTGCTATTAAAACGGGCCACTGTGTACTCCTACTTAGGTATATGCGTAGTAACTGTTTGGGTTCACAACATTCTGACCGTATTTAGTTTAGTGAATTTTACTGCCCAAATATTGTGTCACTTTAATTGATTTATGCATATATTTTTTTTCCATTTTGTGAGGCACTTTTTCATAAGGAATAGAGCACATGTTAAAATTCTTTGAACACACAGAAATGCTTGAGTCTAAACCATACGTTGTGAATCTCTTACCTTGGCTAAATGTGTCTTTATTAGTAAAATAAAGTAATTATTGGTAATAATGTAAGCTGATTTACAGATGCATGCAGTCTTTAAATTGGTGGAATATTGAGTTTTGTAGTTTAGCTTTAGTACATTTGTGCTTTCAGCTGTTTTTAATGTTACACAAACAAAGACAGAATTTTACAAAAAAAAAAAAGGAAAAAATAATTGATATATTGATTAATTTATTCTATGATTTCATTCACAGGTGGTTCATTTTCCTGGTCATCCATGTGCAGCTGCTGAAAGCAGTAAGACTCTATAACTTAACAATTCTTCTAGGTACATTTTAAATATTTTAAAACAGAATATGTATGCACCCTTTGTTTAGAAAATGTCCAAATATTTCATGATAAAAAAACAAATAATGCTAAAAATCATCGACTATGATTTTTATTACATTGTTATGTAATTTTATATGTTTTCTGGCCATTTTGTTTGATAAAAAAATTGCAGATATAATTGTACTATTGGAAATTCAAATTCAGATTGCTTGTAAATTATTGAAGAACACAGGGGTGCCCTTTTTGACGAAAAGTAGTGCATTTATTACATACAGCTATAGTAATCTCTATTGTATATTTTCAAACTGAAACTGTATGAAATGCTGTGCTGTACGTAAAAAAAACAAACAAACAAAAAAAAACAAAACAAAAAAAAAAAACGAGTCAATGTTGATTTGAGTACTGAAAGTTATCTGTCTAGGTTTAAACATGCATCTTGCATAGAAGTATGATTTAAAGTTCTATGTCTTATTTTCTGTACACTTTGTCACTCCCATTTCTGTTACTGCAGTTTCCAGAATAAAGTTTAGATTTGTATTTCACAAACAACATTTTGTCACAGTGACACAAAAGAACGCTGTTATTTACTGAACTGTATACATGCAGGACTCACATTAATTCTATTTATCTTTCTGCTTCACATACTGTCTCTCTCCTAGTCTGATTACTGTTTTCAGACCTCATGTCACTTGTTTGGACAAAGATTCCTTGGTGCAACTGATGCACTCTATGAGTTTTTATGTGTTTCTAACATGTTTTGTCCAGAATTCAGAGTTTTTTCACAAAGTGCTATAAATTAGCAAGTCTTTTATGGTAAAAGGATGGGTGACATTTATAAATATTTTGTTGGATACTAAATTGAACTAATAGAATATGTAATCAGAGTATTTTAAAATCACACATATTTATTTAGCTGGTCGACTCGTGTTAGAGTTATACTCCTCCCAGTGTCTAAAAACATGTGGGTTAAGTTAATCAGCCGCTGCAACTTGACAGTGCATAAATTGTGTATTTTGGTTGATCTACTTTTAGAAAATTTACGAGTTAATCTGCCCTCATAACTTTGTTGTGTATAAGTTATCCATGGCTTTATCTACAAATTAAAATACAGAATCAATAATAACACAGTAAACTTGATTGAAAGGTGATTATCTAAAAAATAAAATCTCTTCAGGAAGTAAGGGGATAACTTACTAACAATAAATATCTTTATTGACGAGGGGGAAAGGTCTGCATAGATCTAAAATAAAGCATCACCATACATAAGGGAAGCCATTTATTCTCTTAGTATAAAGTACAACATTGCAATTGGTCTTACCATGCGGACCTTTTTTGATCCTACATTCTACATTGTGAAGATGTATAGTCTTCTCAGCATGTTCCCTTGGAAATTTAGAGCAAAACTTAAATGTTGGACAGATAAATGACTGTTCATGGCAGGTGGCGCACACTCACCTAAATATTTAGGAACTTTTGAGAAAACTTTGTGGCAAAGATATCTATTCTGTATAAAACTCCCACAACACACACACACACGCACACACACGCACACACCTGGCTGCTGGTGGGAATATTTGTGAACCTGGGGGAATGAAAAGCTTAGCACAAACAAATTTGCATCAAGGTCAGCGTGCTCATATCTATTCAAGTATGTCTGGGAACACTGGAGTGTTATCTGAAATGTTTCCTGTTAGTGCAGGAAATGGGTCAGTTTTCAACAATCAGGACTTCTCCACCTAGCTGCAAAGTTTACTGCTCACAAAAACCGTCTGTGTTTTTTAAGGGTAAAATTGAAGGCCCGTGTCAAGGCAGAGACTGCTCTCAGTGTGTGTGTCATCCTGCTAAAGGTGCAAGGGTAAGAAACACGGGTAATGTTTTTCCTCACCAAACTTAAACAATTCCCGTTTTGTCAATATTAATAAATTGTATTTATTTTTTTAGGGACCTCCAGGGAAACCAGGGAGGCAAGGTATTCAAGGTCCAATGGGACA